ACACTCTTAAACTTTGTTTTAAAACTTTATTGATTACCCTCAGAAGTTAGAGGGTATGGGGTATATATAGGATCATAAAACAAGCCCCAAAACTAAGAGAAAACCAATGAAAAAGATAAAAAAACAGAAACCTAAAAATCTAGAAAAACTAGCCGTTAGAGGTCGTTAGTCAACTGATACTGTTCATCAGTCAATTGATGAGCTGGCCGTTACAGGCAGCTCACAGCTCATCGTCGATTGAAGAGCTCATCAGTAGACTGATAGTTTATCAGTCACAAAAACAAAATTTTTTGCTAATTCCAGGCGAGTGTATCAGTCGAATGATAAAATCCATCAGTCGACTGATAACAAGTTATCAGCCAGAAACAAACAGTAAATCTGATTTTCAAACCTCTTTTAAAAATAGTAAATAAATTCCAAAAAATATAAAACTTTGGAAAATAATTGTAAACATGATAATAAACATGTTATAAAAAGTATTTTTAGAATTGCACCTCCCAAATGAGAAAACTCATCAATTTACAAAATAGTCCAAAACATAAAAACACAACAACACTTTTTTTTTTGACAAAATGACTTAAACAAACTCTTGAAATATTTTGAATGGATTTATAGACTTAGGAAAAGATATAGACTATAGTTGTTAAGTCTATAAACCAAAAACATAATATTTTTCAAAATACAGTAGAATATGAAACATATGAATATGTATATGAATGTATATTTTTTTCATATCTATATAACTAAACTAAAATAAGTTATCCACATGAAAACAAACATATATGTATATAAACATAAGTTTATTTGTTTGTAAAAACTTAGTTTGTGGATAAAACCCAAAACGTATAAACTCATAAAATGTGTGTGTATATGATATTGAACTTTAAAGTATCTACACACAAGTATAAAACATAAACTAATTATACCCAAGCAATTGGTCTTCAATAAGCTCTTCTTGGTAAACTTTGCGGTTAAAGCTTGATCTTGAATTAACTTGAATTGCATTGGCTTCATACCGATATTCATTTCATCCTCTAAAGGATATGATCGTGAAAGCTCTAGTCCATCCATCCTCCAACTCATTGTTTGTCTAGAATAAATAAGAAAACACAAACACTAGATAAACAATATTAGTCGTAAATTATTTGTTAAAACATCATCAAAACAAAAAGGGCAACAAAATTTTAGAAATTGCATATTTGTACCTCAAATCCTCTAGGGCCTTGTAAAATGGTCCCTCACTTAGTATATCAATTAAAAAAACTAATCATGGTTGAGTTAACTCATAATCAAAATCTGTAATCGTCAAACTACCTCTCACTCTGATGTTTCAACACTTTGTGAAGCACGACTTTGGGTTAGAACTTTTTGCTAATAATTGGAGAAGAAGTGCTCAAGTGGATTTCGATTCATTTTAAGTGTGTATTAGGTAATCTATTAAGAAATGTGTTGGGGAATATTACATAGGGATATAGTAGTCACTTTGCCTCTAAATGTTAGATTTGGTGGACCCCCAAATCTAATGTGATTTAACTTGAAGAACCATTTTGCAAGATCCTATAGGATTTGAGGGACTAATATTAATTTTCATGATTTGAGGGAGTAATATGCAATTATTAAATATTTAAGGGATCAACATGCAATATTTTAGATTTGAGGGACTAATATAGGGTCTTGTTTCACTAATATGTAACTTTCACGATTTGAGGGACTAATATGCAATTATTGAATATTTAAGGGACCAATATGCAATGTTTTAGATTTGAGGGACCAATATGTAATTATTTATTTAAAGGACTAATATTTAAAAACCCTTGAACTATTAATCTCTTCAGTATGAGATCTCCATGCGCCTGCAAAGACTGACAGGATATATACCAAGTCAGGAGAGTGAGTACACTATTGGTATATAGTTATTGAGTTTGGTTGACTAGGATTGTCAGGATCTTGCATGGGCATTGTGTTAAAAAAACTAGCTTAAAATGAAATCTATGGATCCTGTTCTAGTTGATGATAGGCTCCTGAGTCATCTAATATATGTAACTTTCTCCCATTTGATCATCCAAGTCTCGCACAAGTTAGCAGTAAATTTGCACTTCGTTTTGAGCAAGTATTTTACATTTTAATTAGCATAATAAAGCTCAATTTGTTATTGCTTATTTGAGGGTGTTTTTGCTTTATTTCAAGAAGCGGTTATTAATATTGTTTGATGAAAACTTTTTAACATACATATTAAAAATGCTTCTGTTTTTAAAGGAGATGCTTTGAGAGACAATCTAAAGATAATTTTAAGAGTAGTTTCTGTTTTCCTAGTTTATGTACCATATATACATTTTATCTTTTAACAATGATCATTAAGTACAGTTCTACCAAATAACTTAACTACTTTCTAAGCTTTTGATATTGAATTACCAAACAACTATTTTTAGCATTTTCAGAAAACTTTAAGGCTTGATTTGCTAGAAGGAGAGGTGGAGTAAGGTGAAGAAATTTTTTTGGAGGGCAAGGTGATGTAAGGTATAGTGAGAGAAAGCGCAAAATGAATAGAAAATATGGAGAGAAACATCTCTCCAATTCGGAGGGATACGAAAGCGATTTATATTACAATGAGTTGTCTCCTCACGAATTTTTTATAATTACCCAAGTGTCTACTTTATCAAAATCATATCTTTCTTTCAAAAGGATATTATTGTACTTTTACTAACTCATCACATCACATCTCATTTCAATATGTTCAACCAAATAGGGAGAAAAAAAATCATATACCTTTCCTCATTCTCCCTCCAACCAAACACGAAACACAAAGATATATCCTTCATTGTGCCTCATTGCACCTCACCAACCTCCCCTCCCATCCCCTCCCCTCTTCATAACTCCTACCAAAATAAATTTAAAAATTTATCAGAAAACTCTTTACAACGTTTGTTACAATTTCACCTGCAAAATTATCTTGCAAATATATGCCCTAGTAATTTTTCCCATGTAAAAATTGCGATGAGATTGTAGTTTGTTGATAAAATCTTAAAATTGAAGGAGCTAACTTAAGAATATTTTATGTATTTTGAAAGTTATGGGAGTTTACCGATAATCGACCAAAGTTAAACAGAGTTTTCTGATATTTAGACTATAATAAGCATATAGTACTTACGCAACTTTAAAAGATGAAAAAGCCTAAGGTTTATACTTCCAAAAACTGAGACATTGGGGGCGAGTAAAAGTACGCAACTAGGGTGATTATTAGCTGGTTCTGAGCGAAACGGCGGACTAGTTTTGGTCTTCTGCCAACAGAGGAGACTGCACACGTGTCCTCATGAAAGGCATGCACACCAGTACCTGCAATACTATTGGTCAGGTCCTACCCTGTCTCTTCCCCAAAATACCCCTCTACATTTCTTCCGAGATGCACAGCTTTCTATCATCCCTCCCTCACAAGACGAAATGGCGAGCATCCACTATCAAAATGGAATTAACCATGGAGCTTTGCTACATGGACCCAAAATATGGGACTAATAAGGGGGACAAGTGAGGTATCATTCTCCTATTGGATAATGAGTTGGTCATCATTAATGATGACCAACTCATTATCCAATAGGAGAGGGACACCTCACTTGTCCCCCCTATTGGTCCCATATTTTGGGTCCTTGAGGAATTTTTTTTAACCATGGTCGGCGGACTAGTTTTGGTCTTCTGCCAACAGAGGAGACTGCACACGTGTCCTCATGAAAGGCATGCACACCAGTACCTGCAATACTATTGGTCAGGTCCTACCCTGTCTCTTCCCCAAAATACCCCTCTACATTTCTTCCGAGATGCACAGCTTTCTATCATCCCTCCCTCACAAGACGAAATGGCGAGCATCCACTATCAAAATGGAATTAACCATGGAGCTTTGCTACATGGACCCAAAATATGGGACTAATAAGGGGGACAAGTGAGGTATCATTCTCCTATTGGATAATGAGTTGGTCATCATTAATGATGACCAACTCATTATCCAATAGGAGAGGGACACCTCACTTGTCCCCCCTATTGGTCCCATATTTTGGGTCCTTGAGGAATTTTTTTTAACCATGGTACCCTCTCAATAGGGGGGACAAGTGATGTGTCCCCCTCCTATTGGATAATGAGTTGGTCATCATTAATGATGACCAACTAATTATCCAATAGGAGGGGGACACCTCACTTGTCTCCCTTATTGGTCCCATATTTTGGGTCCATGTAGCAAAGTTCGGGTCCTTGAGGAATTTTTCTTAACCATGGTGCCCTCTCACCTCCAAATCCTCATTGCATGCTCTTGCAAATTTTAATGTTGTAAAAAGTTTTATAATTCACTCTAAGTGAAAATTATGAGCATAATTATTATCCATTATCTTAAATTTGCGTTACAGAGTAATACAAATTCAAGTAGGAGATTGGTATTTTCTCTCTTTATATTTCAAAATTTTAACTATATCCGTATATGTATCTGGTATTTACCTCCTAAAAAAAAAAAGAAGCGAAGAAGCACTTTATTTTAAATGCATTAACCTTTTACCTATAAAAGAAAACTTAAAAGTCGATTATGTTAATCTTCAAAATGAAAAAGTAATCCTCAATTATATGAAATAATATCAATACAAAATCATAAGAATACACATTATGTAGTCTTGCATCTTGCAAAAAGACGGATGAACCAAAGAATGCGGTTTGTAATTAGTTTTCATAATAATCGATGAGAAGAAAGAACAGTGTCTGATCTATCATGGGCATAAAAAAAAAGTGGCAGTCCAGTAAATTTTCAAACAGTTCGAGGGGCAGATATGTAAATCAAAACACCCTTCCTCAAATCATGTATTAGTACCCCCCACATCATTAATCACATCAATTGAAAATGCAAGGCACCTCTCGGTCCTCTCCTCAAATCAATTATCATATCATCATCATCTTTTTAATCACAAAACCCCATAGCCTAAAAAACACAAAGCAGAGCAGCAAAGTAACAGTATATATAATTCTATCATTATTTCTTACTTTTCCTTTCCTAAGTAACTGTACATAATTTTACCATTGCCTCCTCCTTTTCCTTTCCTATTTTATCATCACTATTTTTGTCTGCTATTTTCCTTATTATTGCTGCCGTGCCGTCACTCTCCCCTAAATACTCCCTTCTCCTCACTCCTTCACCAATGCCCCTCTTTCCCCTCTCTATGCTACAACTCCCTCTCCTTTGAAAACACTTAGCAAGGAAAAGCTCCTTTCTTTCTCTTCCTCTATAGGGAGACACCCATTTGATAGGAAGAGGAAGAAGAGGCAAAACCATCAAGAACAATTTTCATTTTCATTTTCATTTTTTGCTAAAATCATTATTAAATCTAAAGTTTATATTGTTCGAGAAATGGGTCTGAGCTATAACACCGCTTCCTCCATTCTCCTCTGTGCTGAGGACAACAACAGCATCCTCTGCTTTGAGGATGAGATTGAGGAGCAAGAGAATGGCCGTGGCTGGGCTCCTCAGGAGCAAAGAAATGATTTTTATGGAGATTTCTTGATGGGTTTTCCGTTGCAGTCTGATGAGTGCCTGGATTTGATGGTGAAGAGAGAGGCTGAGCATCTCCCAAGAGAGGATTATGGCAAGAGATTAATCACCGGAGCTTTGGATATCTCAATCAGAAGAGACGCCGTTGACTGGATTTGGAAGGTAACAGTTTTTCCCCCCCTATCTTTTCCCTCTAATTTCTCCTTGCTGTTTTCGTCTTTCACTAACAAATTTATGGTTGTTGGTCAATGCTATTATTCTTTCTGTGTTAATAAGTGACTTGAGTTATTATCATCTTGTTCTTTTATTTTCCTCCATTAACTTCCCCAGATCAGTTTTTGGCTTCAACTCTCTCTTCTTTTGTTGGAAAACTGAAATTGTCTTTCTGTGAACAGGTTCATTCCTATTACAGTTTTGGACCTCTGAGTGCCTACCTCTCTGTAAATTACTTGGATCGGTTCCTCTCGGCCTATGAACTTCCAGTAAGAATCCTTCACATTGACTTAAAGGTCCAACCTTTCACGGACACAACAATTCTATGCCTCATCTAATTTTGTTTCTTGTTGGATTAGCAAGGAAAGGCTTGGATGACTCAGTTACTATCTGTAGCTTGCTTGTCTTTAGCTGCCAAGATGGAGGAAAGTGAAGTCCCCCTGTGCCTTGATCTACAGGTGAAGGCAATATTGTAGCTGATTACTTGCAACATTTCCACAGATTTTTGTTAGGAAAATTTCGCTTATATGTTTGCTTATTCTTTCAGGTTAGGGAAGCCAAGTACGTGTTTGAGCCAAGGACAATCCAAAGGATGGAGCTTCTGGTTCTGAGCACCCTCAAATGGAGGATGCAGGCAGTGACCCCTTTCTCTTTCATAGACTACTTCCTTCACAAGCTCAATGGTGGTGATCCCCCAACCAAGCCTTTGCTCTCTACAGCAGCACAGCTCATCTTGAGCACAGCCAGAGGTGGGATTTATCTTCAGATTCCCTTCGTACGATGTAAAACTTCTATATCTGGATTATGTAGCTGTAAGTAAAGAAGAGTTCATTAAATTTGGTTGCAGGGATCGAATTTCTAGCATTCAAGCCTTCTGAGATTGCTGCTGCTGTTGCGATGTCAGCACTGGGAGAAGCCCAGGTGGTGGAGATAGACAAAGCTGCCGCTTCTTGCAACTATGTGGACAAGGTAACCTCAATTTGCTTCTCCTGTTGTTAGCCTTAAGTTTCAAACCCTTCTTGTGTTTGTTTCAAAATTTTCAAGGTTTTTGATGGGTTATATGTGCTTGGAAATTTGGTTGCAGGAGAGGTTACTGAGATGTTATGAGGTGATACAGGAGGTGGTACTGATGAGGAGTGGGCCTTTGAGAAATGACAGCACCGCATCAATTTCCTCTGTGAGCCCAAATGGGGTTCTTGATGCTGCCCGCTGCATGAGCTTTAAGAGTGACGATATGACTGTGGGTTCACATGCACATTCTTATCATAGCTCTCCAGCTAATAAGAGAAGAAAATTAAGCAGGCCACCAGTTTCATGAGTAGATAATGGTGGCTTTGTTTGTGTTGATCACCTGTTTGAGAGGTTTTGGTACTTTCATCCAAGCCAGTTTAGTTTTGTTAGTGGGAGTTTTTGGTGTGGTCATCAAGGTGCCAAAGTGGATGACTGAAACTAGAGAAGAAAATATAAAAAAAAATAAAAAATAAAAATAAAAACAGGAATAAATAGAGGTGGAACCAGTTGCTCATGGTTTTAAGATGAATGAAGCAGCCACCAGATGATGAAAAGATGAGGGGGAGGGGTGTGTTCCTGTGCTAAGGTGAAGACATAGGCTGCTACAGATAAACTGGGATAAATATTTGTTATTTTCTTTTTTTATTTTTTCCTGTGAAAAAAAATCTGGAAAATTACTCTTGGGATCAAAAAGAGAAAATGAGGATGTGGGTTCCTTCATTTATGGAGGTATTTATAATTGACATTATTAATAACTCTTCTTTGTTTTAAACTGGTCTCTGCCATCCTATTGTTTGACTGCTGGTCTGGTTAGACTCTGGAGTTTGCTTCCCTACGATATTAAAGAAGAGCTCAGGGCCAGTATTGATCTTTGGAAGTTACAGATAGACAGCTCAAGGGGGTAGAGAATCTCACCACGTAAGTGGGCAGAGGGAGGCCACTGAGAAGTTTCAGTGAATGGACCAGGCTTTAGAATTAAAGAAAAAAGGGGAGAATTATTCCCTTCATCTGTTTCTTTTTTGGTTTTAACTAGGGCTGTGCAAACGGTCGGTTGGGTCGGTTTTTATCAAATTTTAAACAACCGAATCGAACTGTCTATTAGTCAAAACCGAACCGAACCGCTATAAGTGGGTTCGGTGCGGTTCGGTTCGGTTCGGTTGGTTCAAATAAAAACAGAACAAATATATATGAAACCATCGAACCTTCACCTGACTCTTTTTGGTCTTTGGATATTGGCATGTTCATCCCATTGAACCTGAAAAATGTACAAACATTTAATATTATAGCCTGGATGATAAATTGAAAGTATGCAGTATGAGAAGAAGGAAAGAGATTATTTACTTTCTAAGATGAACAATTTTTCACTTTAGCCCCATTTAATTTTTTTATTATTGAAATCGATCCTTTTTTTTATTTACCAAAACCGACCCGATTTCTTGATTAGCAGCTTAATCACTTTTCTAATTAGTCGGGGTTGGCAATCCTAACTATTTAGGAGGGTGTTAAATCCTAATTAGAAGCCTTAAACCCTAAAAATTAATGTCCTAAATAGTCGGGGTTAACAACCCCGACTAATTAGGAAGGTGATTAAGCTGCTAATCACGAAATCGGGTCGGTTTTGGTAAATAAAAAAAAGGGTCGATTTTAATAATAAAAAATTGGAATGGGACTGAAGTGAAAAATTGTTCTTCTAAGATCCCCACTTAGAAATTAGGATCAACCCATTGAGATGAAGTATCCCTTAAATAATTGTACTTGCAAATTTGAATGTTTGATCATAATATATGCACAAACAAGTTATGACAAAAACAATGAGAAAATACATATTCTTTGGAACATCTTCTCCTTCAAATAAACTCCATAACAAATATGCTCAATAAACTATCCCGAAGGTATAATTCATGGTGATGCAGCAACAACAATTTGGAAGACTATGATTAAGGCAACAAACTATCTCACAAAACTAACTAACAAACTGTCAAACTGAGACAAATTTAACTTGCTATTAAGAAGATAAAAAGCCAATTCAATGCACCTGTAGACAAGATAAGTAGTAAACATACATCTAACAGATTAGAATTATTAATGATATAAGAAACTTCTGCCCAAATATACAACTAAAATAAGTTTTGGAGCAATATATGAGCAGACTGCAAGTTTAGTTGAAGTAAAGCTAACTTGCTAAAACCACAATAAGAAGTATCTTTGCTTCTGCAATTTTAATAAGAAGTTCATACCTTCACTACCACTCCACTATGGGTGTCTCCAAAGTAGGGGATGGATCTTGAGGAGATGGTTTAGTCATGAAGAGAAATGATATGATTTCAGGTAGAATTGTGCCCTAATGTCGGCGAGGCGGCGGTGAGACTACAACGAGTTGGAGGTGAGTCAACGAGTCGGCGGCGAGTCAGAGGCGTATTGGCGGCGATTCGAAGGAACGTCGGTGAGTCAGCGGGCAAAGTCGGTAGCGATGGTGATTGATGGTGACTGAAAATGGAGAGGCAGCCGCAGCAATGTAGTCGTGAGAGAAATTGAGAATTTAGGGTTGACGTTTTCTTTCTTTTAGGTTATTAGAAGATGAGAATGAGTATGGGTTTCTAACGGGTACGAGTTAAGAAAATATGTGAATGACTTATATGCGGTCAGTTCGGACGGCTCGGGTTGAAAACTTTTCGATCTGATCTGAATCGAGTAGTGCAAAAAACCGACTCGATTTGCTATTTTTAGGTTGGTTCGGTCGGTTTATTCGGTCTAGACTGAACCATGTTGAGCCCTAGTTTTACTCCCTATCAGAAAAAGGAGCCATTATTAATTTTCCTAAGATCTAATCTTGTATTTTGATCTAAGTAAAGGTGAAGACAAATAGTACATTAGAATATTGAGTGTCCCTAGGACTTTGTAATGCTTCTGCATGTATTATTAATTTAACATAAGGATAGCCGAGAAAAATAGCTGAGTGCTCACTGGGATTACTACCACTGAAAATGCTATCACGTGTCCACGCTAACAATTTACCTCTGGACCACTGTGACTATGCAAATAAACTTTCCCCTATTTTCTATCATAGTATATATTTTTGTCACATCTTGGATGCAAAGATGAAAATGACTTGCAAAAGATGAGAACATGAACAGAGGGAACCTCATTTCCATGCATCATTACTGTTTTTTTTTCTTTCTTTTTCCATATGCCTGTTTGAGAGAGGGCCTCATTGAATTCAGCCTTGTTGCTGGCCTGTGGTGCTCTGTCCTGAAGTAAAGCTTCTCCTTTTAAGGAGAGCAGCTCTATTTGTACAATAGCATGACCCAGGAGATCTGTCTGTAGCACTGAGCCTGCAGGAAATGGCTTGACCAGTTGCTTTCATGTGTCATGGTTGATATGTCCATGGACCCTGTAGCACTGAGCCTGCAGGAAATGGCTTGACCAGTTGCTTTCATGTGTCATGGTTGATATGTCCATGGACCC